ACACTAATCCAGCACGTTATTATTCTGAGTTGCCCCACTCAAGCGGCGGCCATATTGAGTGGGGCACGTGAGATGAATAACGTGCTGGATTAGTGTGATCCTAGTTCATTTTATTACGTCATTGCTGTGCTGTATGTATATAGGCCAATGTAGTTGGATCTGTATGTGCGTTATAATTAATCGAAATTAATCGATTAATCGATTTTAAAAAATTTCGATTGATCGAACACGAAAATTTTAATCATTACCAGCCCTAATGTAAAGCAAAAAAATCAAAAATATTTAACACACTTATCTTTCATGTACATTTGCGGAGGACAAATTGAAGCTGCAAGTCTCCCAGACAGATCTCCGTCCTGAAATCTCCCATTTCTCTTTTTCTAGCTTGTTTACAAAGCAGTTTGCATAAATGAAATGGCTTAATGATCTCGTACATCTGTCAGCAAGGCTCAGCCACCAAATTGCGCTCCCCCCCCACCGAAAACTAACTCTTGTAAAGTTAATTTATTAGAGTAATTGAAGTGAATTATTTCCGTTGTTTTGGAAAAGCAGCGATGATGTGACATTCACACCCCCGGACTGCAATGATCAGTGAATCAGTCATTTCTGACACTGATATCTAATATCTTTGTTCCATTAGCAGTTATCTTTGTAAATATCTTTGTTCCATTAGCAGTTTGAATATATGAGGCATATTTATAGAGCAGTTTACCAAACATTCACTGTGGGTGAACCAATCACTTCCATGCACCTGAAAGATTCGCCTGTAGAGAAGGTTTGGTTAATGTCAGAATTACTGCTGTACAAATATGACCCAATGTAAACCCAATAACTAAAATCTCATGCAAGCATTATCACGTTAATGTCATATCAATAGTCTTTTTTAAATCTGCTGCTTTCACTAAAAAAAAACCCCTGGTGATCCAGTCATTAAAATCCTTGTTCAGGTACTTCTGGTTTTAGGGTGACAATGTGCTCCTGTGTTGTGCTTCTGTGTTGTCACCTTGTCACATAGGCTTCAAACAGAGATTACTCACATATTACACAGGCATGGTCTACTGTTGTCACCATCAAGAAATGTCATGCATCCATCGCTGGAGTGGGTGCAAAAAGGCTGCAGGAGATCAGGAGGTCTGAGATGGAACAAAGGATGACAGGTACATAGTTACATAATTAGGTTAAAAACAGACCAAGTCCATCGAGTTCGACCTATAGAGAGAATAAAAATAAAAACCTCCTAAAACAGAACTCTATGCACACAGTTACCCACAGTTGATCCAGAGGAAGGAAAAAAAACCCCCAATAAAGCATGGTTCAATGTGCTCCAACAGGGGAGAAAATTCCTTCCTGACCCCATAAGGCTGCCCCTGCAGTACATTTTCTCCACCATGTTCTGCATTGAATGATGATCAATCCAGAGCGTCTGTCATCATCCCTATGATGTGCTCTGCAGATCCCGGCACAGCAAGGAAGCCGCCATGCATCGGTAATTGGCTTGCGCCATGTGCTGAAGCAAAAGTCAGAGATCTGAAATCGGAATGTCTTAGAGAGCCTGGAAACAGATTTCATACAATGTACTATTATATGGGACCAGGGCCGTAACTACAGATCACGGGGTCCCATAGCAAAAATGTGATGGGGCCCCCCTGACAACCTCTCTCTCAGCTGCGAGTACTGATGCCAAGATCCCAAAGACTCCTCTTGTGCATCGGAAGCCGTCTCTACACTGTAGACTTTTCAGGGGATTAGAGTTGTCATTAACTGCAGCCACTCCAACCCTCAATGATATAGTATTGTATTATCTTCATATGTTCTATGTTTAATTTGCCTCAACAACCTAATGGGGCCCCCTTACAGCCCCAGGCCCCATAGGAGCCACCTGGGCTCCAACCTTTAATGATACAGTACTGTATTATCTTCATATGTTCTATGTTTAATTTGCCTCAACAACCTAATGGGGCCCCCTTACAGCCCCAGGCCCCATAGGAGCCACCTGGGCTCCAACTTTTAATGAAACAGTACTGTATTATCTTCACATGTTCTATGTTTGATTTGCCTCAACAACCTAATGGGGCCCCCTTACACCCCCCGGGCCCTATAGCAGCCGTCTGGGCTCCAACTCTTATTGATACAGTACTGTATTATCTTCACGTGTTCTATGTTTAATTTGCCTCAACAACCTTATGGGGGCCCCCCTGACAATCTCTCTCCGAGCTGTGGGCAATGATGCCAAGATCCCAAAGACTCCTCTTGTGCATCTGAATTAGTCTCTACACTGTAGACTTTATAGAAGATTAGGGTTTCATCAACTGCAACCACTCCAACCCTCAATGATATAGTACTGTATTATCTTCACATGTTCTGTGTTTAATTTGCCTCAACAACCTAATCGGGCCCCCTTCCACCCCCAAGGCCCCATAGCAGCCACCTGGGCTCCAACTCTTAATGATGCAATACTGTATTATCTTCACATGTTCTATGTTTAATTTGTCTCAACAACCTAATGGGGCACCTTTTCATGGTGAATCTTACATAGAGGGGCACGTCGTGCCTCTGACAGACATACCTTAAATGTTTCCCCAGAATCCTCTTCAAAATAAACAGGGGCTATCTAGTTTAATGTTATGTTATAGTATGATAGTATGTACAAAGGATTCTTACTGCCTTACCCTATTACCTCCCCAGAAAAAAAGAGATCCAGTAATTGCTATAAACACATTAAGATGTCCTTGACATTTCTCAGAATGAAGACCTGAGATTTGAGGATATAATGCATCTCATGGCGGTAATCTGTCTCCCAACATCATGTCTACATATCATATATTATTCAGAGAGATATTATTCTCTTCCTTGTGTGAGCGTGTAATATGAGAAATGTCACGCCACTTGTAAAAGACACTTAGGGACATGGTGAAAAAAAAGGTCATATTCTTGTTCATGCGCTTCAATTAAAGTGTAACTATGGGCAAAATAATGAGTGACATGTACAGTATGCTGCGGGCTATCACTGGCATCTTTTTTAAATCACCTGTAGCATAGTTTTATTACCTGTTGATCCTGCCAATAATTCTGTTGTTTTTCTACTTCCTTGAAGGCGGCACTCCAGAAAGTAAGTTCCTTGCAAATTTACTGTACATCGGTCCAGTTTGGCTTGATGTAAGCATCTATATCCGATATCCGGAGGGATGCTGGAAATCACTATACTAGTCCGTGTTACATACAATGATAGCTGTGATCTTCCAGCTGCGGTTCCAGTGGCTTCCTGTTTGCATACTGAATGCAGGGAGTCACTCATTTACCAACGCTGCCATTCAGAGAATGCCATGTATTTTTTTTCAATGAATACAAGGCATTTTCTGATTGGATGAGGTGGAGAGGAGGGGCAGATAACATCACGATCTCCACCTCATCCAATCAGACAGCGATGTATTCCATGAAGAAAACACAATGGGGGGAATTTATCAAAGCAATTGCGACAGTTTTAGCCTCTTAGATAATTTTTTGATGTGCAATTCTGTTTTTAACATGTGCGGCCGTTTTGAACAGAGCTTGCACTAGTTTTCCAATTGCACGTGTTTTGCACCTGTTTTACGAAAGTTTGCAACTGTTTACATCTGCACCTGTCCTGCCGTTCTCTGCAACTGGAGCATCACCTAACAAAACAATCGCAATTTTAGAAGTCCCCACGACCACTTCTTCAAAAAGCCATGGTTAAGCTTTGTGCCTGGAGTTTCGAGTCTTCTTTCCTGGAGTCTATTAAACCTAATTTATGAATAACATTACACTAGCAACATAAATCTGGCGCAAAGTGCGTCAAATATATTCCGTGAAAGTTTAAACACTCGCAATTGCTATGATAAATTCCCCCCAAGGAGTTCTCTGAATGGTGGCAGTACTAAATAAGTGACTCTCTGTGTTCAATATGCATAGGGGAAGCCACTGGAGCCACAGCTGGAAGATCTTGGCTATCAGTATATGTACGCAGGAAAATTGCGAGACCGCACACCAGCTATGTCTAAACTCTTCCTTTATTCTTTCATAAAAGCATTACACACGACATGCATGGAGACCTGTGACGCATTTCAAGCACACAGGTGCTTAGTCTTCTCACACACACGTGACGTGCCTGTTTGCATGAAACCCAATGCGCCAAAGGTCTCAATGCATTTCGTGTGTTATGCTTTTGTGATAGAATATAGAAAGTTTTGGACAGAGCTGGTGCGCCAGAGTGCAAGCAATAATTATAGGGCTTAATTATTCATGGTTAACTCTAAACTGATGACCTGTACCGGCTTTACAAATGTCGCCAATGGACAATTTAGCGTACCTTATTATTTCACAGGCACACACAGCTTTTAACCTTGGCATGCTGGGTAATGGTATCTATTTACTCGGCACATCCTCATCTTTTATATTTGACAAAAAAATTGGGTACTATATTGAAGTTTTGTGCACTATAACTAACTCAAGTGTATTTTTTACGGAAATTTTGGGCTTAATAAACAGTTGCTAATATTAATATATGATAATATAGTTGCTGATATTATGCAACATAAAAATTTGCACCTGCTGCCATTTTATTCTGCAGCGTCTGTGCTTTTTTTTAGGAAATATATTATTCTTGGGGAGGGGGGTTTAAGTAATTTGCAGGCCTAAAATGTGGATTATAACGTGTGTTCCAAAAACTTAAAAAAAAACTCTGGCAGCGACAGGATTAAAATATGGAAATAGTTTTGAGGTTCGTGTAATTTCTGACATTGAAACGAATGAACAACAAAGTCAGAATCATTGAGTCCTCACCTGGGAATTTTCATATATATAAAAAAGAAAAGAAAATCCATTTGTTCCGTCTAATGTTCATTGTGGTATAATTATGACCAAAACCTCCTGAATTATTGATGATTTCCTGTATGATTTCTTGCTCTGTTCCATTAGACTCGGCCGTTTTTGTTCCCCGGGGTCACCGTATCTGACCCGTCTCTCTTTCTCTCTGTTTTCAGGGACGTTCGTATCAGCGTTTACCGTGCTGTGCGGAGCCAGGACAGACCTCCCCGACCGACACATATGCTGCGTCTTCTGGCTGAATATAGCCGCTGCCCTCATCCAGATCCTCACCGCGATCGTCATGGTCGGCTGGATCATGAGCATATTCTGGGGGATGGACATGGTCATCCTGGCGAGTGAGTGTCTCGTGTTTTACAGAAAATCTCCAAATAACAAATAAAAAAAAAATCAGCCAGTGAATTTAACTGCAAATGCTAGAACGTCCGATCAATTTACTATAAGGGCTAGTTCACACCAGCCCCAGTGCGTTCTGGCACAATTCAGTGCCGGAACGTACTGGATGGCATCCCGGCCAGCTGACTACGTTCTGTGGCGGTGCATTGAAGTCAATGGCACTGCAGCCACGCTCCCCCCTTGGCTGCAGTGCGATCGCCCACACCGGAACGCGTGGCACATCAATGGTCCGGTCCGGTCAATGGTCCGGTCTGGTGCGATCAGAAAAAATAGTGCATGCAAGTTATTGACTTCAATGCACCACCACACGCCCTACTGGCCCACAACGCAGTGAGCCGGCCGGGATGCGATCCAGTGCATTTTGGCACCGAATCGTGCCAGTACACACTGAAGCTGGTGTGAACTAATCCTAAAGCTGAACTCCAGGAAAACAGCTTAATATACAGGTGAAATACATATATGGTGGCTGTTCTACCTACCACAGCATTTCTATTCTGGTCCATCCAAGCCCAGAGATTTACACAGTCCTGCCAACCTGTGCCAGGACTGTCCCTATAATGAGGTAGCCTGAGGCAGTGTGTCTGCTTGGCACAATGTTTGCAGTGTGTCTGTCACCCCCTTTCCGGCCAGAGCGTCCCAGGTTACTAAGAGCCAGGTAGGAAGATGTGTAAGCGCCATACACATCTCCGCGCCCAGCTCTTAGCAACCTGGAAGGCTCTTGCCAGCGTCCTGCGGGGCTCCTGGCAACCAGTGACATCCCCAGAGCTCAGTGAGATGTCAGCCAGAGCTAGATGCACCCCTGTGGTGACCTGTCCTTTCTCTGCTGCAGTTAAGCAACATAAGCAGGTCACCTCCCCACCCCCTGCCTGTGATTGGACCATGAGGAAGTACACTGATTAAGTCATCTCGCCGCTCCCTCCTACTATCAGCATGTTCCTTGTTATCACATAAATGCAGGACACCTGATTGGCCCCCTTCCTCTCACAGCCCTTCCAAGATGCTAACACCAAGCCAAATTTTGTAACTTACCTTCTGAGTAGTGCTTCTTGCTTGTGGCAAATGATTCTTTGGCAGCGACCGCCATTTGCAAGCTCAGGACATTAAACTCTGATTGTCTGCAGCCTGTAGGTCACCATTAATGGAGAAATGATTATTCTATGTTGCAGCTGTGAATAAGCGCACACAGTTCAATGATCACTGAAGGTCACAGGTCTTAGACTAAAGCTGTGCCGCTGTCAGAATACCCAAAACGTAACTGCAGCTGAGAATTTTCTGACCAGTTCCTTCGACAAACGTTGGGTGGTGCTGGTACATATCACAAGTTTCTAAATTCGAGCAGTGTATGGCCCGCTTAATGACTGGCAACTAATCAGCATGATTCCCAATTATGAGATCACCATAATACTCAATGATAGTAATTCTCTATCTGCAGCCTGCAAATGTCAGATACAATTACAGTATTAAAAAAACAAACACTCAAACAGAAGCAGCCTGCCAAAAGAGATTACTTATAAATACCTTCCCTGTGGGCAGTGACTCCAATATTTGCTCTGTTGCTTCCATGTGTGTGTCAGATGATGAAGCCAACGCATGTGTCTGATGCCTGGTCTGTAGTGACAAAGCAGCTGACGAGAGGAATGTCTGTGACTCGGTGGTGTCATTATGCCTCCATTGGAGTCTTCAGGACACTGTGAGGACCCCACTAATATGCACCCAATGGGAAGTTCCCATGTCAACAGCAAGCTGACACCTGAGGGAGAACCCTCTTACTTTGCAGGAAGGGAGAGAGATGACTCAGGACCCGGCATGTCACGCGGATTCAAGTTAATATTTTTGTCATTTAGCATATTAATTTTTAAATGCTATTGGGGGATGAATTCGAGGGGGGTCTATGGGTAGAGGGGACTTTGACAAGAGGAGATTTAAGACACACTGATAAACTAATGATCATACAAGTCTTCATGATGAAGATGCAACATGGTGGACAAAAGGCCAAATAGCCGATAAGTAGCTGGTTGTCCTTGTCTTTCATCCAGTCCTGAATGTCATGCACCTCTATACTCCTAATCAGTGGGTGAGGTTCATATTTCTATAATGCCTGTTTCCTGGATCTGAAACCCAGCAGACAAAATAGACCCTCCTCCACTTATCTGGCTTCCCAATGTTGCTCTGTCTCCGTAACGAGGACGGTGGAAATGCAATAAGAATGTTAACTGTCTCTGTTAACAGAGGAACAATGTAAACATTTAGGACCAGCACGGCTCTGTCCTGTAAACATGTCAGAAACAGAAGCTGATGCAGTCAAGTTATATTTATAAAAGACACAATATAGGTATTGTAGTGAAATGTATACAGTGTATGGAGGACATTCTGGTTTCCTGCCCTGTAGACGAAGCGCTGATTCATTTCGATATACTTGAGAAGTGCATCATGCCGGTATACATTCTGTGTGGGCTTGATGGGCTGCTATTGTTGGTTCCAGTGCAGAAGTCCTTAGTTCAATGTTCAACATTTTCTGTTATTATTTTTTTGTTCTTTTACTTTCCCTCCACAATCCCAAAAATACCCTGGTTATTAAGGAGCATTTCACAGTGTGGCCCTGCTTGGAGGTCTACCCGGAGGTTCGCAACCATGCCTCAGCTCAGTTCAAACTTCTGTTCATGACTGGGGGACGGTGTGTAGGCTATCTGCAGAGTTTGGACCCATGGTTGTCTCTTGGTCCCTGTATATTCTACCAGTGGACCCCTTCTACCTGGAGGGATGTCAAGCTTTAAACAGATGCTGGGAAACCAGCTGCCGACAAGCCTAAATAATTCCCATCACAACACAATACAACTTTCAAGCTGTAGGTATTGTAGTCCACATGCATGATTTTTCTGATTAAGTCCTGATGAAGGTGATGGGTTTGGGGCCTCCTAAATGTGTTGGCTAACCTACTTGAATCCCCCCTTTACTCCTATAGAATAAACTTGTATCTGAACTATTTCAATTGGTCTGGCACGTCCACTTCTATATCTACAGTTAGACAGAAGGCTGCCCATAAGCACACTCTGAGATAAATTATTTTCTGCTTTAGCGCAGTGTGAATGAGGCTTGAGCAGTTCAGATACTTTTTCCACACATAGGCTACTTGTCCACATTCTCCAGTCTTTGAGATTACTCTTTTATGCTTTTTAAAGTGAAACTCTGGCCTAAACTATTTTTTTTTGTTGTGTTTAGAATGAGAATAGTTTTTTAAATTGAATTCTTCTTCAGATAAGTTATGAGTTTCATTGCAAAAACTAAATATAGATAACCAAATAATAAATATTGAAAGGGAAAAGAAGTGTAGAAAGGAGAAGAGGTAAAAGAGGAAGAGAGGTCCGATCTTCCCGGGTCCAGCTTGGGCTAAAAAGCAAAACAAAACAATACAACAACATAACAGGACAGCTCCCCAAATGAGTCTGAATCAGGCTCAAAATCTTTATTATTCAATCTAGCTGTTAGATATTCCATACTTCGTACATCATCAATGCGCGAGACGAACTCAAATTTAGATGGAGGGAGCGTACGTTTCCATTGACGCCGTCAGAATATGTTTCACTAGTTTTTGATGATATTTACGGAGCTGGATGTATGGAAGACCCAACAAATAGCGAATGGGTAACAAAGGAAAAGTGGAGCGCGTTAAATGTTCAAGTGTAGATCTAACCATCCTCCAGAAGGGCTGGATCTCCTCACAAGTCCAGTAAATGTGGAATAGGGAACCCGGATGTTTGCCACATCTCCAATATCTGCTCTTTTTGACCCCCTGTTGACAAAACAAGCACTTCACCATTGCAATGCAGAGGTAGCTCCACTGCAAGGGTGAGTTTTTTTTAATATCACCCGGAGTTCTTGGAGTTCGGCTTTAAATAACTCAGCAGAAAATCACCACCGCCTCATACTGTTGAATCCGGCAGACAAAACCTAAACATAACCACGGTTATCTACTATCACTGGCATAGATCTATAATCGTGCCATCTTCTTTGCAACTAGAGAATGAACAACTGACAAACAATGTGGGATCAGTATTTCCAGGAATCCAAACACAAGTAATGGGCCCACTTGGCACTCAGTCCATAAAAGGTAGAGAGTTTGTGCAGAACAATATCTCCAATATCTAAATTACTGAAGTATAATTTCAACAATCTTTGTAGAATATACAGAAGTCTTCTAATGGGTAGAAACAAAAAAAATATCTCAAACATTCTTGTACATATACAGTATTTCCAGTCTCTAGATAATATGATATATAGATCTGAACATATTTACTCTAATTCACTAAATCAAAAAGTTGAAATACCCTCTATGGTTAAATGTGTGTGGACACCTGACCATCACTCCTGCTTAATGGCCAAAAGTACGTTGGACACCGTGTCCCCAGTGAAGAGTGTTGTTAATACTACAGCATACGGAGACATTTTAGACAATTGTGCTCTTTCAACCTTGTAGGAACAGTTTGGTGACGTTTATTTTCTGTTCCATCATAACTGTGCCCCTGTATACGAAGCCAACTTCATAAAGACATGGTTTGAGGAGTTTGGTGTGGAGGAACTGTTGTGTCCTGCATAGAACCCTGACCTCAACCCTACTGAACATTTTAGGGATTAACTCGGAGGGGTGATTGTGTGCCAGATCTTCTCATCCACCATCAATGCCTGACCTCACAGATGTTTTTTTTGTCTGAATGGACATAAATTCTCACAGACACCCACCAAAATATTGTGGAAGGTCTTCCTAGACCAACCAATATGGCCAAAAGCATGTAAACACCCCTCCAAAGGAGTTCAGGTGTCTCTAGTGAAGACTACTGTTGATACCACAGCTTGCACAGACATTTTAGACAACTGTGCACTTCCAACTTTTTGGTAACAGTTTTGGTGAAGCTCCTTTTCTGTTTCAGCATGGCTGCCCCCTGTA